TCTCTCTTTCTCTCTTGCACTCTTTCTTTCTTTCATGCCCTCTTTCTTTCTTGCCCTCTTTCTTTCTCTCCCTTTTTCTTTCTTTCCCTTTCTTTTTTTTTCTTTTTTTTTTTTTCTTCCTCAATGATTTAAGCCAATGGGATTATAAATTAGCTTTAGGCAGTGAAAGGAGGGGCTATGGAAATGCTGTTCCAAGCTTCACTAATAAGTCTAGTCTCTAGAGAAGCCCTTCTCAGAAAGAAGCGTTCAGGTAATGGCCTGTATGAATAGTATTAAATGTAATGTAAAGAAAGACTCATAAATATGACATCTGAAATGTGGATCACGTCTGCTGCTTCTGAAAAAAACACTTGTGAGGAAAGCCCTAGATCAAAATAGTGCCACCCATCTACAGTAAAGCTATAATGCAAAAAGAGCCAGACCTTCCTGTAAGGTTATTTTTCTTTGTGTGTAGTTTTTTAATGTAGTTTGTAAGCAGAAGGGTGAAAAAAGAGTGGTTTTTTTTTTGTAATTTCTTCCAAGAAACCAAAACTCAAGGCCATTCATCAAAACTTTATAGCTGATAATACAATCCAAAAAAGATAGATTAAAAAATATTTGTTTTCTTGATAAAATGAAGAGCAAACAAATAGGGAAAAAATGTCATTTTGCTTGGCTGTGTGTTTGTCAAGATSAGTTCTTGGAACCAACAAAACTTAATTCCCTAAAAAGACAAATGACAGAGYCTGTGGAAACGTTATATGACATTATATGACACAACAGTTATGTCTGTCTGTAGTGTTATGGATGCAGTTTAACTGATTGGAGCAAGTCCATTTCATTCAAACATGCCCCTTTTAGTTAGTTGGCTTTAAAAACTACTCCGCAGATTTGTAGACATGTAACTTGGAATGCTTCAGTGATGTAGTATTCATGTCAATAGTAAATATTGGTAAGAAAAACTTCATGTCTGACATGCAAGGCACAAGATACTTGAAATTTCAGAGTCTAAGAAAATCTAATCATTGTATTTCCTTAAATCTCATAGCAATCTAGGCAACAAAATGAAAAAATTCTGAAAATACAAGTGTAATGTAATTGAAGTCGTATCTGTGAGCCTCGAGACACTGTTTTGTTGGATTTTTTTATTTTATTTTGTTTTTGAAGGGAGAAGGGAGAGAGGAGATGAAGGCATTGAAAAATTCCTCCAATATTTTAATTAAAGTGTCACACCATGTAAATATTGCTTTTTGCTGCAAGGATTCTAAATGCCAGTGATTCCCCTTTGCATTTTTTTTGAACGAGGTAATCCAAATGAACTCAGAAGTTCTCACTGTAAACATTATGTTCTCACTGAAGTATTGGGAACTGCAAGTTAGCATAGGTAAATTGGATCCATAAGAAATTGGGAGAAAATGCTGGTCATCTGGAATCAGTAGACCTTTTTTTTTTGCAAAAGATTTTTGTGCTCCTTTTAGCTTGACATCCYTACAAGAGATTTATGAGTTCAGTTCACAATTCACAGTATTTTTCACTATTATRTTTGTTCAATAGTTTTCTGGTGATATTTTTAACTGAGAAATCAAATGGAATATTTGATACTTAGTAATCCAATTCATGCATTAACAGTTTAAAAATCTTTATTGTCTGTGTGTGTGTTGAAGGTGAGATAGGTCCATTCCTTTTAGTTGGAATTATACATGTTTAAAGTCTAAAAATGACTCAGTCTTTACGTATCTTGACTTGATAGATTGTGGCGGTCTGTGCAGTGAATAATACATGATCTCACTGCTTCATTTCGGTTGAAGAATTTCAGTGCTACAGACTGCAAGACTGAAACTTCGTCCTCGCAGTGAATAATTACACGTATCAAACAATGTATATTGAAATACCCACAGTCGGATAAATTAAAGATGAGGGTTCTTCAGCATTGTGGGTTATAAACAAGATCTRTAACCTTACTGAGTGCAGCTGTGTCTCTCGATAAGTGGTGCAGATCGGAAGATCTGTAGTGAGGTTGGTATTTTGTATCTGTTGAATTTATCTGACTGGAAAACTTATAAAACAGACTTTGAAATCTCCAACTGAAGAGTGCCAATGCCTGCAGTTTTTTTCCTAGGAAGCCAAAAGTCTCAGAAAGATAGGAATTTGTCAAAAACACATAGGTTAACCACTTCTAAATATATTTGTAAATGTTACAAATATATTAGAGCTGGTTTATATTTTCTCAAAGGCTGCTCACTTCAATGCTTTCTCTGTTYGCCAGGACATTCCCGCTGACGTGTCTGTGCGTGCTGCAAATGCAAAATCTTGCCTTTGCCCTTTGCAGATAACCAGCAGTGCTGTGCTATGTGTGGTATTCTCACCATGGGCTAGCATGGATGCTGTGAATGCCACAGTCCCATTTACTGCTTGTAATTTCAGCATGCAAAGCCCCTGGAATCGTGGTCACTGATGCCATTAAATCTTGCTCTTAATCCACTGGCTACACTGGAGGTTCAGTCTAGACTGGGGCATCCTGAATTGCATGCAATTATGTAGAACTAATTCAGCTGCAAAATCGTATATTGTGTTCCCAGTATTCGGCTCTGATTTCCTTAAGGCTCTGATTTCCTTAAGGCTTTTATCCATTCCTTATACAACACTTGGTATTGTGGTGCTTAGCAAAGTAACTCATAGGAGGCATAAAAGAAAAAAAACTATAGTTGCCAGTTACTGGGAATTTGATCTTGGTTGGAGCTGATTCAGTAATACAGGACCTGCGTGGTTTTCCTTTTCTTCTGCTTTGAAGAGACCAGTTCAAGCTGCACTTTGGCCATAGTGTCATGGGTGTTCAAAGAATGTTAGAACAGCTATGGGGGAGAGAAGGGCAAAGATGCACATAAAAATATTTAGAACTTGCACCTTCCCCTCTTCCCACCTTCCATTTAACCAATTTGGCCGATTCATTATTAGACTTCTTCAGATTTGGGTCTATATACTCGAGTTTTTGGAGTGGCACACTTTGGAGCCTAACTACTATAAGCAAGGCAGTCAATAATGATTGCTTTTATGAGTTGTCTATTTGTTGCCCCTGTCCCTGCAATGATGGGACATTTATTATAGGGTAGAGTAAAATGGAAGCTGCATATGAGTATGGAAAATACATAAACACATACAAAAGCATGCATTTTTCATATATGAAATAATCTTTAGTTCTTTCAATATAATATTTTCTTCATTGTAGCTTTTATTAGGCACAAACTCCAATGTTCACTATGGCATACAGGATATTTTTTATACTGCCTCGGTTTTTAAAAATACAGTCAATGGAAAAAGGTCTTCCAACTGCTCAGCAACTTTTCTTGCTCTTTTGTCTTGCTCGGATGTCATTATCCAGTGATTAAAACCTTCATTCTTTCATATTTTCAGCCTTTCTTGGGCTCCTCCTTTGCAAATATGGATTACCCTTGATATTTTTGAACACATCTTTTCCTTCAAGTCTTTCTTTTTTGTCGTTATTGTTGATTTTTGTCCTTATTATCAAGTGAGAGGTTGTGACCTAGCTTTTGGTCTCAGTTTCACTTTTCAGATCTGTATTTAAATCTGTTGCTACAACTCTTCATGTAYTCTTTAAGTACTAGCAGCACCTCTGCTTTATCTTAAAATCAAAAGGAATAAGTGGTTTACAAGGTATCTGTGCTTGCTGAACCTTGGAAACCTTGTCGATGGATGGATTATCAATGATTCTTGTGCTTGTATGCATACTTGAAATTAATACACCAGGGACTTTATGGAACCTTGCACCATATTGTGGCAATAGGATAGATTTGTGGATATTTTCTCATTAAAAATATCCAGGCTGGAATAAAAATATTCTTTTYTATTATACTATTTTGTAAAATATATAATATTGCCCCCTGCTATACAACAGCAGGTAAGGACTAGAACTGAGATCARTTCTTTTGTATCTTTTTCTGACCTTTATTCTTACGTGCCAGTCCAGRGACTCTCTTCCTGAAAGGTAGATAGAACATTACAAAATATTTTACATTTAAAAATTACTTTCATTTTTACAACTTTAGGCTTTTTCACAGAATCACAGAATGGTTGAGGTTGGAAGGGACCTCTAGAGATCATCTAGTCCAGCCCCCTGCTCCAGCAGGGACACCCAGAGCACGGGGCACAGGGCGGCATCCAGGCGGGTTTGGAGACCTCCAGAGAAGGAGACTCCACAGCCTCCCTGGGCAGCCYGTGCCAGGGCTCTGTCACCCTCAAGAACTCCTTTTTTGTAGGCAAATTCTGATTATTCTGATGTATATATATATGTGCTTTTTCCTCTCCTTGATGTACTATTTTGTGGAGTCCAATAGGAACCAAGCTGATTACCAGCTAGCACTCTTAGCATGCCATATGATGAATTTCGAGTAAACTCAGCGTTGTACATCCTATACCTCTTGTTCTGCCTAATAACTTTGTTGCATTTTCCCCATTATCAAACTTTTGTATTGTGTCCGACATGTAAAACCTCTTCCATTATCCCTTTGGATGTCAGCTGCCTTGTCACTTCCGGTTATCCTAATTTTGTTGGATTTCATCCTCTCTGCTTTCAGGCAGCATTTCCTTTGTCTTCTGGGTGCTGCAGTCATGCATTTAGTAGAATGCATTATTCCTCATTATGGCTTCTTTTTGTTTGGTTTTACATTTAATGTTTTAGTGACTTTGCTGAAATTCAGCGACTGGAGTTTGGGGTTTGCTGCTAGCCTTTGGAATCTTTTTTTCTGAGTGTTTGAGTTTTATTTTCAGAGAGAAACTTCTGTGGTTCTTAATCTGAAACATACCTTAGCATAAAAATTAAATCCTCTGGTTGTGTCCTGTAGTTTTGTCCCCTAAAGGAGATTGCTCTTTGGTTTTGTGATCTCATCATCACTGACTAAACAATAGCCTTGTTAGTAATATTTTTCTTGCTTGGAAAATATGTTTTTTATTATCTTCATAAGTGCTTCTTGTCTTTTTTTTTCTTGTATGTGTTCTATTCCAGACTATGGGAAAGTATCTCGCAAGTTTGGATTTAATTCTTGTTGCAGAGGATCTCATTCCTCATGTAAATAATTAGTGGTTGGAATAAGAACTTGATTGATGTTTATGTTTTGGAAATTTCAACAATTAACTGGCAATCTGGTCATTTATGTCATTGAATTCCATTTTTGGAAAGTCATGTGTACCAAAAATCAGCTCCACATCTCTTTATTTTATTTTTGAGTATCATGATAGAGGACTAAAATAATAATTGTGATCCCCTTGTAGTAAGTAGTCCCTTAAATAAAACAGAAGAATCTAACAGAAAATATGAGAAAAGATACAACAAAACTCTTACGTTGTCACATGTTGAGTCTGACTGTGTTTTGTAGTTACTCAGGAAACTGCAAGCATGGTCTAATGTGTCAGCTTAAGTTTCCCTGAGCTTTAAATGTTTTCTGCTCTCTCTCTGTTTGAGGGAGCTTTTAAATGTTTTCTGCTCTCTCCCTTAAATGTTCCCATAATTCTTAAAACCTCCAAGGGATACACAATAATATTTGTCATTTCCAGGATCATACAAGCCAGCTGATTCTGAGAATTTCCATCTTGTCAAGGTTTGGTCCAAAGTCCTCCATCACRTTGTTAAGTAGCAATATAAATAGCTGTTTTGCAGCATCTTATGCACGCGCACACACTCACAGGCATCACTTTCTGCCTGAGAGGTGTGAAATTCTGCCTGTAGAAATACATTCTATTTTCAGCCCGCACTTTAATGATAAGCACAAGAGCTGGGGAAATCCACTCGGCTGCCTGTCAGATGGGAAGATCCAGTCCAGCCAGGCAGTGGCTCCMAATACGTGTGCTAGAAATTGTAAATTATCTATGGGGGGTATGCAGGGATTCCCCGTTCTGAGGAGCTGAATCTGCATCGGGCATTCCCACCTTTGTTAACCACAGATGGCTTAAGCAAGCTGAGCATTACAGACATCATATCCACAATAATAAATATCTTTTTTTTTTTCTTTGAGTTTCTGTAGTCTACTGTGTATAAATAGCACTGCATGTATACATATATTTGTTTAAAAAACAATCTGTATAGCCTAACAATTCGTCTTTTTCTCATCCAAATAGCATATTTTAATCGTTATGCTTTAATATAAAAATGAGTATTTTTAGTAAAAAAATGCATATTAGAAGGATTGTATTTGCTGCAAATTCAGATATCAAAGAGGATGTTTAACTTCTAGCAAAATTTCTAGAACAGTATAAACTGTGAGCCTATCTGTATTCTGGTAAGAAAMCAAGTAATTTAATTTTGATAACTGGCTTCTGCTACGGAGGCAGTAATAATCATGGCAGGGTAGTCACTTTAAAATTTTGAATTTCTCTTACTAAGGAAAATAGTTGAACACTTAGAAAAGCTGAATACTTAGAAAGTTGAATGAATACTTAGAAAAATAGTCGAACAGTTTAAAATTCTTACTTGAAAATTTATTTGAAAAGAGCAGTTTTTCGTTTGCTGAGAGTCTACATGCTGAATTGAAGGCCAGCGTGAATTTTCTTCTGTGTAGTGTGATCTGGTTTCTGAAGCTGATAGGAAGGATTTTGCTGATATCAAATTTCTTAGGCATAGGTCTGGAGGGTAAATGCTTTWAAAAAGGGGGAAGTGGGGAACCATCTCTATCAAAATGTGATTTAAATATATGGCTGAATTATGAACTTCATCTCTTGTAAAGGTGTTTTGGAATATGCGTTTAAGAGGTTAAAGAGCTAAGTTAAAGGTTCTCTTTCTGAAAATCTTGCAGCTCCTGTTGCTACCACGGGCTCTATATAGGAGAGCATAGCAGTGAACATGCAGAAACGCCCCTTTCTTCTCCTTATTTGATCACTGGAATGCCTTTTATCTACCCTTACTCTGGCAAATGAAGCCATCCTGTTTGCCCAGACCAAAAGTACCAAATGGGGAGCATCTTTTTCACTTTTCCTCAACATAACTATGAAGGATGAAGACTGTCCCTCCTTCAGCTGATCTCAAAAAGCCTGCCTGAAAAGCATGAAAACAGGCGTTTTAGCRTTGACTTTAAACACCGTAAAACCAAACTAAAGCAAACTTGCCCCAGCTTGGCTTAAGATGAGTCCTTCAAGCCCTCAACATTGACCTGGGCAATGTGACATCCATGAGCTACGTCCGCAGAGCCCCCTTTCGTTCAGTGCAAGGCAAACATTCTCATGGTTTGGGGTGAGCAATAAGCCAAGGGGAAGGGTGTTGCTCTCCTCCTTGTTGAGCTACCACGCGTTGCTTACGGTGCTCTCTGTTTTTCCCTCTCCACCCCCTCCTCCTGCAGAGTCACATCGGGAATTCCTTCACAGGCCTGCTTCTGGATACGTGCCAGAGGAGATCTGGAAGAAAGCTGGTAAGAACTGTTTAAAAACACAAGCTTGCTGTGCTGGCAGCTGGGTGCAGTTGTTCATGCGTTGACGGGAGGCATAAAGAGAAAGAGCCTCCTAGTAAGAAGAACTGGCATTTAGCAATCTTAAACTGGAACTGATCAGAACCTCAAATAATCTTTATAATAGAAGCATCTGCTGCCATTGGTAAGGGGCTATCAGTATTTCCATTAAGTGCACCTATTTTCAGGGGTTATAAGGTTTTCAGGGTGAAATGTGATATGCTGAAGTTTTTAGTCTGTGAGCAATTAAAAAAAAAAAAAGAGTTAGTGTCTGAGTATTTTAAAAGCTTTGTGATTCTTACCTAGTTAAGCTCAAAGGTGAAAAAAATACCCCTAAGTGAAAAAAGTTCATATCTATAATGTAAAAAATCTTAATTATTAAAAGATTTTTATGCCTGTCAGCCAGCAGTGAAGGCTGTGCTCAGAAACCTATAAAGTTTTGCTCTTTYGATGCTAATAGAGTGACTACCTTATTTTTCAAGGGGACAGAAATTCGATCCTGATTAAATGGCAGATATGCAACAGTTTTGGTGCTTTCTGATCAGAACACCAGTATCTGCCGTCATTTGGTATATTAGAGTAAATACAGAGCACCCATGTATAAACATTATGTTGGTGTATTCTTGCAGAAGACACCAAATTTGGTTGTCTTTGTAAGGTGGGTTCATCCTTTGAAGCCTGTATTAGTGGAGTTTCAGAAAGCTATTTTTTCTTGCAATATCTAGCTTTTAATATTATTTAACATACTAGGTGATTAAACAATTCAAAGGTCCTGTACAGTGGAAAAAAAACTGTTAATTCTTAAGCTAGGAATACAATTTGACTGAAGCTATGGGCCCGAATTATAAAATTGGATGTACATTCAGACTTTGTCCACAAATGGAAAAGGAGCCTGTGACAGGTCATTTTTTGAACCCTCTTGAGCAGTTGAGAGTTTTTGAAGCAGCTTTTTGCTTTGGTCTCATTTTTRTCTGTACCATCATGCCCACATGAGTTCAAATCATATTCCCTGTGTTACCTGAATTTTTTTGTGAACTGAAGAATTTGAAAAGTCTGTTTTTCTACAGGAGACCTATCTGTATTAACAGAAGTAAAATATCAGAAAGCATAGTGCTTTTCATAAATTATTGGCCTGTGTTTTAAGGAAGATGACATTATCTACCACCTGGTAGTGAAGGCAGTAAAGGTGCAGTTCAGCTCTGTGTGTCCCTGTGTCCAGAGCCATTTGAGATGGCCTGTGGCCTCCTGCCTGCCTGTAGCTGCCCTCCAAGAAGGCAGCAAATCTCTTAACAAGTTCTGCATCGTCTCTCATAGCTCTGCATGGGTATCTCGGTGTGTCGAGTCAGTAAAGAGCAATGTGCAGACAGGTGAGTGAAACCCTAGAAGTCCGATTGAGAAGCTGAATCCCRTGAAGAGGCTTGGCATACGAACAGTTAACCCGCAGTCTCAAAATGAGAAGAGGCTGCGAATCATGTGGACGTGTGATTCACTTTAAACTTCTGGAGATTCCTAGATTCAATCAGAGTATACAAGTGAAGCGCATGTTTTCATGATGGCTGGTGCGAGGACATTGTGTGCACCACCCTGTAGATTAAAGCTGTGTGAACCCACGTGAGTTTTGTAAATCAGCGGAAAGTCACCAGTGTCACAAAGAAGATTAAAGGCCATGCACGGCCTAGCGTAGTCCTGAGAAAAAGACCATGCAGTCTGGGGCCTGAGGCTGTGTAGTCCCTGCTACCTGCTTCTCAAGGCCTTTTTTGTCCACAGACAGGCCGAGAGCAAGAGCTGCTACCTCACCCAGGCTGCTACCTCACCCAGCGTATTTCCTTTCTCATCAGGCTCCGTGCAGCACCTCCCCATGAGCTGATACCTCCACTAGCCCCAAAGACCCCTATTCCCACCGAGTAACCCCTATTCCACACGGGCTGTCCCACAGAACAGCTTGCTGGCCGAGGCCTCTGTCAGGTGTCAGTCTAGTCAAAGCGAAAGAAGATTTCAGTCGCATTCCCAAAAAGACACGTTGACAAAGGGAGTTTAYGCCAAGAATGATTCACATCAGCAGAAAATAGAGGATGTGTGTGATATGCATCGTAGACATTTTGTTTTAAAGCTTCTTGCTTCATGTTTTCCGTTGTTTGAATCCAATCACTCTTCCTCCYTCTGGAAAAGAAGCTGTATTCTATGCCAGTATCATTTTTTTTATTGTCTTACTTTTAATTTTTTTCTGAAACTGCAAAGTCTGAATTTCTATGTCTATAAAATATCTGTAGATACTGAAAGCATGTTTTTAAAGGAAATGTGAAGAAAATAATAGGACATTTTGTCTATTTTTAGTAAGTTCGCTGTCAAGAGTTCATATGATGCTGAAATAGTGATGGTGCATTATGAGGAAAAAAAACAGAGCGTGTTTGAACACTTTGTTTTTTTTGCATTTAGTGCATCATTGCATTATTCTTCCTTCAGATATAATGGAAATACTGAAGCATAATCCATAGTTTATGCTAATTTAAAAATAAATTTCATTTTTCCTCAGCATGTGGCTTGTTAGTGCTTTTAACACCTTCACACTTTCAGAAGCTTTGCASAAAACTTATACAAGGCAGAAGTTAGAGTATACCCTTCACTTTCTGTATTAGGTTGAAAAGAAGGAGATTATGTAGAATTAAAAATTCTCTAGAAATTTTTAGAAGTCTCTGGAAAATATTGGGTTGTTGTTCTTTGTTTTTAAAACAATAGTTGAAATTGGCAATTCTAACAGCAGCAAACATCTCCACAAAAGACTAATCTTTTGTAATGTAATGAAAGTGCATCATACCATTTAAAGATCATTTTATTCATTACAAATATCAGCAAGAATACAGATTTTCTCAGAGACAACCACTTTGTTATTAACTGCAGTTCATAGAGACAAAGAGTCTGTATTTAAGTTGCCTCATTTTTATGAAAATGATAATAAAATTGCATCTGTGTGTTTGCCTGTGTATATTTCTTTTCTCCGATCAGTGAATGTTTGCAGTTGGTAATAAATATTCAAGCACCTTGCAAATGTCCTACCAATTCTCTTTGCTGATCTCTGTGTGCCTGTGGGACTAGAATAGGAATGCATAATTTAAATATAAATTGCCTGATTTGCATATACAATTAGTCTAGCTGCAGCTTTGATCGTAAGCAAAAATTATTGTCCTGGATTGCCACTTAGATAGAATTTTAATTCACCTTGAATATTCAAAGTAAATTAAGCCCTGGCTGTATGGTTGAAGGGTATGATTTTTTCCTCTCCCGAGGCTTTCCCCTTAACAACATTTATGGTAGGGTAATATAAGGCATGTTTTCAGCCTCATAAAAATTAAGGCATAAGTTTTGTCTTTTTTTTTTTTTTTTCCCTTTTGAAAACTTCAGTTGAAATACATGTATGTCACATATACACATTAGCATGCACATGCAGAGTAATGGAACTATGTTGTCTTTTAAATTTAATCTGAGTGCATAGATTAAATTTAGGATTTTGCTTGTACTTTTTATTTGGTATCATGCAACAATAACTTAAAATGAAGATATTTAGTTATTTTTAATAGAAAATTCAGAGCTCTGAGAGATTAAAGCATTCAGACAGTTATTGACTTGGTATCTATATGTACAATAATGCGTATGCACATGTAGGTGCACATAAATGCATGTAATGCAGCCTAAACTTCAAACACATAACATAGTTGTAATAGTTGCATTTTAATCTACAGTAAAACATTTTTATTAGAAATCTATGCTTTTAATTAAACAGAACATTTAATTAAGGTGGTTTTTAAGTGGGTGAAACAATTAAGTGCAAACACTTGAATGAAACATGTCATAATTAGTTTTAATAGAGTGTTAATTGGTACGAGGTTTGCCAAGTTAATAATTACTGCTTATTAAATTTTCAATTAATCATTGTCATTTTGCTTTGAATAAAGATGAAAATTAGATAAACTAATTCAGGGGGAGGATGGTTTCCTTGTTAATTAGAGCAGTTAATTAAAAAAAAAGAAATTACTTGTTTTAGTTGTCAGTTAAAAGACTATTCATTAGTAAAATCTTTGGATTCTTCTTGCATCAAAACTCAAATAACTAATTTGTGACAATTCCTGTTTTCTGAAATAAAAGATATGACACTARTATATACAGAAGAAGGTGCATGTATTGGCTTAGTTGTTTTACAAAAATGAAAAGACTTAAATATAACAAAGCATCTACACTCATATTCAGATGTAATTGCGTGCTTAAGCCTTCTCGGCTTTGCTATGCACAGGAGCTCGGCTGAATCAGGACATACCTTCTTCACAACATAAACGTTGGTCTCAAGTGTAGATTGATAGGTCAAAACAATGTTCAGGAAAACATTTTAGTTCTGGATGCTAAAAGTAAAGCAGTGAATTTTTAAATAAATTCTCTAGTCTTTCTTTACAGGCATGTCTYTATTCTTTACATATAGAATAATTGGCTAATGACTCTAAATTTGCTCTAAATTTGCAGAGTTTAAGCATGCAAATATAAAAAAGTCTGAAATAATATGAATTCTTGCCAAACATATTAATTATTCTGGTGGTGTACAAAACCAAATTCTCAAGTAAACTCTTAAAAAAGCCACAGAAATATAAAGCAGAGATCAGAAATGCCTTGTAGTGAAGAGATAAGAGCCATGAATCAAAGCTGTACACTCTACCACGAGCACTGTGCGTTTCTGAGAGCGTCCAGGCATGGGGAAGCATCTGGGTGGTTTTGAGGAACAAATCCATCTTTGTCCTGAAAACGATGGTGCGCAGTGTCATAGAGCATGTGTGAGTTTCATGTGCTGTTCCTACGTAGCCCTGCACCAAACTTACTATGCTGATGCAGGTTTCTCCCGGTTTCTCATTCGCAGAGGAAGCGGTCAACGAAGTGAAGCGGCAGGCGATGGCGGAGCTGCAGAAGGCCGTGTCGGAGGCCGAGCGGAAGGCTCACGACATGATCACTTCAGAGAGAGCTAAAATGGAGCGCACGGTCGCCGAAGCCAAGCGACAGGCTGCAGAGGATGCACTAGCTGTTATCAACCAGCAGGAAGACTCGAGTGAGGTGAGGTCTTGCTGCTGTGTCCAAATGCTCTCTTTTAACCCGCCTCCAACAGGGGGTTCTCCTTGGTAGAGCTCAAATCCGTTTTGCCTCTTCCAATGAAGACCAGCAAAGAGCTGCCATTTGGGACGGATGGCCATGGATGCCTTTGCCTTCCATCCCCTCTGTCTTTGTCTAAGGTCAAAGAAAGGCACATCAGACTGTCGCACTGGGGAGATGAGATTGCAAACTGTGCAGTGGAGCAGGAAACTGGAGGACGCAGAGCAGGGTAATTCAATCCTTAACCAAGTGGAGCTGCAAAAAATAGGGGGAACCGAGCCAACTTTAATCTACCAAATCAGGATATCAGTGTGATATTGATATCAGTGTTCAGTGCAGGCTGCTATCTGCTTCTCCAGTGGCTTTGGACGTGTGTTACGGTCATGTGCCGAGCTGCAGATGTTCTTGGCTACATTGCTAGCTGAACCCAAAAGCACTAGTGAACTTGAACTGCAATTTCACCTTTTAGTTGATGTTCAGGGCTACACATAACACATAATGCAGGCCAACGTAACTCTATTGTAGTTTAGATTTTCATTATCATTATTTTAAATCTCTTATTTTATTTTAAATCTCTACCAAATGGGTAACRAGGTTCGTTGTTAGAAAATATTTCACAGCGAAATTTAATATAACTAAAGAAAGAGTCTAATAGATAATAGAGCAAAGTAGCTAGAAACTTGCCTGAAGAACATGTTGCATGTGGACCCATGGGGGACAGAATGTGTAGGTTACCTTGCTTAGAATGTGTTACTTTGGCTGCCAGGAATATTTGTAGTTGAGGAGTGGGCAAGCAGCATTTGGATGGAAGCAAAATAGACTGAAAGACTGAAAAATAGACAAATAATATAATAGGAATAAAGATGTTATTTTCAAATCTGGAAGTGGAAGCCTTGAATCCCTGTGGTATGGGACAAACAGCAGCATGAATAACCAGGGGTTGGGATTGAAAGAGCACTGTAATGTTTTTACATGACAAAAAATCATATCAACTATGTGCTGTTTTTAAATGTCTTGTATATAGTCTTAATTTCTGAAGGCTGCTGAACTGATAGAACATTAGCTTTATAAGCTATTCAATGCTCTTGCATTAAGGTGTTAAATATGGTAAAACTATTTTTTAAGCTCTATAGTAGAGCAAGTCAGAAAGAGTAGTTGTGTATCACCCTGGTCTGTGTGGATGCATATTTGTGTACACTTGTGAAAGCTCTAAATGGCAGTGTTGCAGAAGAGTGACTTTAAGTTGAAAGATTCAAATTAACTATCTGCATCATGCCGAAAAAACTGGCAGAGATCATGAGCGGATAAGTCAGTGGCATGCTGCAGGATGCATCCATAATTGGAGGGAGCGTAAGATTTTAATTCATACCAGGCTTCTCTGGAGATGAAAGACCATTGTGGGATCACTGAATGCCCAGAGTTTCTCCTTAATGTGTAGCAGATGAATAACAAGGAGACAAAAGGAATTGATTTTCAGCATCTGAAAGTTTCTCAGGAAGAAAGGGACCTAGGGAAGTGTATGTACCCTTTAAGCACTAACTGTTCCATCGCAGATTAAATGAGACATAAATTCAATTTATTGGCATTTTGTATCTGAGATGTTCAAGGACATTTTTCCTATGGTATGTTCATAGAAAGTGCATTTGTCTGACTTCGTGTCATTAAAGAGCAGTTATCTTTTGTGTGTGTATATATACAAGAGATTCCTATTATTAAAACCAAAATTCCCAACATAAATGCCTAGGAGGAAACTGCAAATTAAATCTGTTTAGTGAACTGGTACAGTGTAGGCAGGACAGATAAGTACTTGCTGCCAATACATACAGCCCATTCTTCCACAAACAAATGTGCATCCAAAGGAATGAACACAAGTGCCTGCGCTGTAATTCACTCCTGCGCAGTAATATTTCTGGAGAAGGCTGTATAACAACAGACATCTTTATTTCATCTTCAGAAGAATTGCTTACGAGGTTGTTCACTTCTTGGAAATAGAACTTTAAAGAAAAGCAAATGATGCCTTTAATTTAATTCTAATGAAATGCGGCTCGTAAGGTCACTGACGTTCTCACTGCTGTTCATCCCCAGGGAAGATGCAAGCCTCCCGGATCCAGACCAAACAAAATATCTGAGACCTATTTAAAGTGAATTATAGTGGCCTYGTCCTGCAGTTTTACCACCATGGTCATGAGTGTTATAGCGGTGGCAGCTCAGCGGTGTGGAAAAGGCAACTTTCAGTAAACCTAGTTGAAGGGAGAAAACCTAACTTTGATAGTTAAAGGTGCCTGTAACTTTTAATCGTTGGTTTCTCTTCTGCTTACAATTATGCCGAATTCCAACCATTTAGGGTAATGCTTCCCAAAATTATCCATTAACTTAGGCTGTCCTTTTTCAGGTAATTTTTGTAAAAGATGGACCAGCCTTTCCYTTCACCTTTGAGAGCAAGAGATTAGCCTGGCAAGTGTTTGAAAAATGTTTATTTTGAGATGACACTTTCTGTTGATTGGATTGAGGAGTAAATCCTGATGTTTGCTTCAGTGTTCATTATCTTTTGTTCTCTTTGTGCTTATCCAGCCTCATTTGCCTAGACTATAAGCTCCCTGTAACTTCTCTCTATTTTAGAGCTTTCAGCACTASCCTTCCAGATCTTGTAGCTGCTCCAGCAATATAGTTTCCTGTGTGCTAGAGGCACTGAAATAGTATTTCCAGCACTAGAATATAGTTGTAAAAGCTATGGATGGATGTTGTAGTAGCAGCTCCTGCAGTCTTGCAAGCTTAGAGCTAAGTGTCGCTCCTCATTTCTTACCCTGGCACGGACATTACGCCAAGGCCTGCAAGAGAGATCAATATAGGCTGCTATGTAATTTCCATGCACTTCCTGATGGAGAATATTTCTCCCACAGGTATCATTTGTTCTTCTGGCTTTGTAAACTGTGAATGGAGATGGGAATTTGGCACCACATTTCTAAAGTACCAGATATAAATTTCATCTGATGTGACCATTCCCTGTCTGTTGGAAAGATTTCTCCCTTATAGCTCTTCATCTGTTATTCAACACTGGAACTTTGAGCTACCTGAGGCTTCTTTGAGTTAATTTTGTGTGAAAATATAAAGCAGAATAAAATTGGACATGTTGAGGTGAGGAGAGCAAAATAAAAGGAGTTGAGGACACTGAGAGGGCTAGTAGGAGAGATGTGATGCTGGGAAAGATCTTGTGGTTTAAGAAGTGGTCCACAGTATTTTGAGAATCATCACACGTCACAGTGAAGTTTTCACTTCTGACTCCAACGTGGCACTTTGTTGAATTACTGTTTTTTGCTTATATTTGAATTGTTCAGTCTGATTTGATTGGAAATGCCACTGCTTCAGTGTCTATACATTTACTTTCTTAAGATTTCTTTATTGTTAGCATATGTCTTTGAGATAGACCAGGACCTTCACCCTAATTTTCTATTGTTATTTGAGAGCTTGATTGAAGCTCAGCGGATGGAGCACTGTTTCTGTTGGAAAATAAAAGGACAAGAGAAGGTCTCTCTGTCAGCAGGGCTCTTCCAGAACCACAAATTATTTCTTTACCGATTCCTAGCAGTTGCTTGACAAAAGATGACCCATTCATCAGTAGTTGACTTGGCAAAGCTCAGAGACACGTGTGAGCAGCCGACTCTTTAGTGACTGCCTTGCTTGCTTTGGCTGCTATGTACTGTTGTGCAAATCAATTTTAATAGTAAGGGTGAACAGCTTAGCAAGGAGCCTGGCTGCCCAGATTGAAACATCTGTCTTTCTGCTCTGGTATAAAATGCCACTGACAAATCTGACACTCCATGTTCTTCCTGCCCTTTCACCAGGGCCATGGCTGGGGAAGGAACATGGATACTTTAGTTCTCTCTCCTTAAAGCAGATGCTGACATCTGCTCAGATAAAATGAGTATGTAACTGGTCCAACACTGCTTTTAAGAGATGTGTAATGTTGAGGCTTGTTTATATAGCAGCAGTTTATGCTGTCTGCGAACATCACACTTACCTGACATTTTGAAGACAGCTGGGTTCAATCTATGCCGACTGATCCACTGAGACCAGCACTGTGCCAGCAAACCTGATGCTCAGCATCAGATGCTGTGATGCAGGCAAACCTAGTTTTTAGGCTGGAATTAAATCTAATACATATGTCAACTAATGTTAATTTTTGTTGGACATTTCTAGGAACTTAGCATGTCACACTCTGCAGTGGTGGGTGACAGAGACATCCTGGAGTCATCCGTTCAGTGCAGCCTCAGACCAGATGCAGTAAAGGGTTATTTGCTTCCCTTTGGCAGTGCCCCAGGATACTAAACCTGCCTAGRCAGCTTGGATGTCTCCTCACTGTTCTTCTTGGCACTTCTGTTTTCAGGATGTAGCTTCTCTCATGCTAACTTGTATGAACACAGATAGGCCTCACGCAGTAAACAGTGTCTTGGATAAGCCTTGAGTGTTCAGTGATTGTTATGACTTTATCAGAAATATTTAAAGGTTTGGATATCTTTATATGGAGTGTTGCATTTAGACACGGTATGGGAATCTCCAGAGTCCTGACATGTTTTGCCTTCTGATGAGTCTTTACTAAAATTTTCAAAAAATTCTTTGCTGGTTTATTGAACTAGTGTTCTCRCAATATGAACTCGTTAATGCCACTGTGATTTCAGTAATCTCTAAATATTCATTCACTCTCTGTTGGTTRGCAGTGATAGTTTTGAATGCCATGGGTGTTGCATATAGATCCTGGAAAAATCTAGGTTCACAACTGTGCTTCCTTTCGTAGTAAGCTTGGAAAAATCCGAATTCTTCAGAGGTGAGATTGCAGTGTTTGATATGTATTTCAGCATTTTAGAGTTCATCATGTTTTTGACATTTCAAAGTTATTTTATTCTTTTCTTCTTTAAATCACCTCTCCCTTGAGTCTCAACTGGAGATGTCAGAGAAAAGCAAATACTAAAATGTGGTTTAATACTGCAGAGGCAGAAGATGTACAAAACTATTAAGAAGTGTGTCCTCATACAAGAGACCACAGAAATAAAGATCATTTTTTGGAGGTTTTTGTAAAGGCAAACAGAAGTTTCTGAGTTCTGTCATTTAAAGATCGAAGTTTAAGTAGATGAGAATTAAGAATCAGACCTAAGATAAGACTCTGGCCTGAGATAAGACTCTGACCTAAGACTGATGTTCCTTGTCAGCTGAAAGAGGAGGATGAAATACAATCAGTGGCATAGGTTCTGAGCAAGATTCCCATATGGTGTAATTTAGCCCAATTGCATTGAATTAATCCATTTTCAAGGTAGTGAGGTTAAATTGAATTATGTAGTCTAAGAATCTGGCCTTTTGCATAACCTCACTATTGCACAGGAAAATCAATGCAGAGTTAAATTGTAATCTAGTCTTCCTCATAGTTTTAGCTACATCTGGAACTCTGTACAAAGCACCAACTGGAAGTGCAATGCTGTTGGTCACTACCTAAAGACAGAGCAAATAGACCAGGAAAAGCTTCAGGAAATCAGCAGCTCCATTTCCCTAGGCATGGTCAGCTCCTTCCCTATCATGCCTGTATTTGCTGTACCTGTGTTTTACTAAATGGAGATTCTGCTCTGCCTCTAGGAATTTTTTTTCATATCTGTGGGAAGATTTTTCCTGATATCTATTTCCGATTTTCCTCAGAGTTGTTACATCTCATTGCTTCTCCTGTTAAACCTGTGGACATGATCTTTGACTGTCTCACTGCAGTAGCTCCTTGCACGTTTGGATGCTGCTGTGTCATCTCTTAGGCAATTCTGTGCTCTTTTTAGGTTAAACAGTCCATTCAGATTCTGAACAGCTTGTGCTTCTTTGGCTTCTGATTATCTTGCTGCCCTCCTTTTTGTTCTTTTCAGATCATATTTGCCTTATTTTATTTGTGATATTTGAAGTCCCGTTATCCCAAGCTGGACATTATGGCAGGCCAGGCCTTGTCAGTGGCAGCAGGCAGGGAATCTTGCCCCATATGTAAGCAGCCTATGCCAAGCAGTCCATATCTCTTTATAAGCCCTTGGGTCGTGACTGCTGCCTCATCAACAGCAGCACATTGTTGGCCCAGGGTTATCCCAGACGTGGTCCGTGCAGTTCATTTCAGGTGATCCATTTTGCAGGTACAGAATTACATAATTAGGGCTTAGATTGAGCTCCAGAGCTTTGCAGAGGGGGATATATCTTGAGCATGCTCAATACCTTGCTGAGCTTAAACTCCTGTTTGCCTTGCCTGGATCAGCTGGGAATATGGGGCAGGGGGGAAAAGCACAGCTCAGTCCATTTGCTGGCACCTTGGTCTGTGTCTTCTGCAGAACATGGGCTTCAAAGCTCACAGCCCCCAGTGAGAACAGAAAGCATCTGTCAGCAAAGCTTGCTGGGCTTAAGCCAGGTAATTACTGCTGGTTTTCGCTGCTAAGGCACGGGAAGGAGCAGCAAACGGTTCGAGTGGTGAGGATGCTGTAGGACAGGCAGCTTCTGCCTGTCAAACGCAGCTCCTAGTGCAGGCCAAGTTCCCCGTGTCACGTGTACTTGTTTAGGGTGATTTGCACACTCTGTAGTCCCTTTTAAATGCAATAATCTCTTTGTGAACGTGAGCCATAAAATTTATTTTGAAATCCTTGCAGTTTATGTACTTTTATTCTCACAGTTACACTAAAGCTGTAATGACCTGTTAAATTATAAATAATATGTGCAGTGGACAAAATCATGTACCAAACAGTGTAGGGCACATTAAGCAATCATGTAAGGAACCATCTAGGAACTGTGTTACTTCATTAAAATCATGTACTTGTTTATGACTTTTCATTTTACATATAAATAGTCATACTTGATATTTATTTTAATAAGAAAGTTGGATCAATACTCTTAAAATTCAAATTGAAGAGGCTTCAAAAATTTGCCTGTAGTAGCTAAAGGAATATTTGAACAGAAAATATTCATAAACTCCTTTCATAAACCTGGCATGTTTGTAGCTTAGATTTCAGTGCTGCGCTCAGGTTTGCACAAGGGACAGATTCCTGCACCTGAGCAGGTACTGATTGACTTCAGCATTACTCCATGTGAGGAAAAGGGCCTTTTCAGAAAAAAAATGGATAGGGAGGCTTTGTATGTGTGTATTTATTTTCAGAGTAGAGGGTAAAGGGGAATATGGGCTAGGGCCTGGGCTGGYGAGTTGGAAACAAGTAGCTTGAAAATCAGCAGTCGCGGCAGCCGGTGGAAATTCTGCCCAAACACAGTTGGAGCAGGAGCCCTCCCCGTTTACTGCTCACAGCGTGAGCACCAGCTGGCAAAATGGACCTTTCACAAGGAAGATATGACCGTTAAGTAGCAGTAGTATAGCCAGAGGAGGAGCATCCTGCTATACTGCAACTTGTCCTATTTCTGGCCTGTAGAATGAGACCCCGTCTTTCTCGGAAATGCTAACATTAGCCTGCCAGGTCATTTTTCTGTAAATATGCCTGTGTGTGCACACGTACAGTGTTCTGAACTATTTTTGTAGTTATTTTTCATTGTGGAGGGGGAGCCATTGAAAGGAAGAATGTTTAGGCATGGGACAATTATCTATTTCCAGAGGTCRAAGTGTGGATTTACTCCGTCCAACACTGGACAGAGTTGAAACAAATTAACCTGAAACAATGAATATGGAATCAAAACCAGGTGATGCCAGACAAGAAGTCTGAATTCCTGACATTTAACTACCAGAAACATCTGGTTCTGTGTGTTGGTAATTCCACCTTTTTTAAGTGTTTTTAAAGATGGGAATGGTTTTGCAAACTTTTTTTTTTTTTTTTTTTAAAACGACACCCCCAACACATGTATTTGTGATTACCTGGTTTAGTCTGGGTGTTTAATCAGTATGAATTGAGGATGCTGTGTATGTGTGATTCCAATCTCAAAGAGCAATTGAGCACTGGACAGTTACTATCCTCCCATCTGCCAGTTTGTTCCTATGCCAAAAAGCATCCCAAACAAACAAGCCAACCAAGAAAGAGGATGCAATTCACACAGAGATATTTTTTAAGGAAGGCACTTGACTCCAATTAAATGTCTGATATGTCCTTATAATATTATTATTTTGGATTTAGGTCTTTGTTTCTGATTTTGGGGTTTTTTTGACATAGTTTAGGGCTATCACTTCAAGACTGGCTGTGCTCCAGAATCCAGCTGGCAGCATGTGTGAAAGTGAACAGCACACAGATCCCGCGGTGGCTTCCCAGCCTGCCAAAGGGTTAGGCTCCAGCCTAAAAATCACTGCCAGAAGTGCTGCTGAGTCAAATGGCATTACTCAGACGTTTATAATCAAGGTTTTCGTGGGATAGCAACTCTCATCTGTGATTTGTGTTTTTTTTTTTCTTTTCCTTGTGTTATCCCCTCACCGCTTTTAGAGGCTCTTGTGTCATTATTTGTTCTAATAAACCTGGCAGAGGAACTGCCTKAGGTCTCACTGAGAGTTACTCATAGTGACAGGACTCGCAGGTGTATTTTTGCATTTGCCAGAGTTTGCATTGCTACTAGTAGCAAGGAGTTAGAGGAGTGCCCTGTTTCTGCGGAACAGAATCCTCCAGGTGACCGGAGACGCAGGGTACAGGYTCAGGCCAAGGTGGCCGAGGCAGTCGGGTACCAATGGCTTGACTTTTCAGGGCAGGTACTTGCTAGCAGCTCCTTGTCAGTTATTTTTCCTATAAATTTCTGAGCACTGATGTCTCACGTCTCCTCATCCTCTTTGGCTTCTAGAGCTGCTGGAACTGCGGCCGGAAAGCCAGCGAAACCTGCAGCGGCTGCAACACGGCGCGATACTGCGGCTCGTTTTGCCAGCACAAGGACTGGGAGAAGCACCACCACATCTGTGGACAGACCCTCCAAGCCCAGCAGCAAGGAGAGACACCAGCAGTGAGCTCCTCGGTGACGCCCAGCAGCGGGGCCGGGAGCCCCATAGACACGCCACCAGCAGCCACCCCGCGCTCCACCACRCCGGGAACCCCCTCCACCATAGAGGCCACCCCTCGCTAAAAACCCACCCCGGGAACTCTGGAGACACAACAGAAACGAAACCCAATTCCTCACCCTCAGATGCGCAAAGATTTTAACCGAACTATCCTATTTCAATACTTCAATAAGAAAGAACTTACTGTATCTTGAGGTGGTAGAAAA